TCGTCGCACGGCCTTCTGAACGTTTCCGGGCAGCGGGGCGTCAGGAAGGGTTGCAGAAGGTTCACGGTCCACGCTGGCAGAAGCAGCTGCTGCACTCCGCTCACTGCTGTCGTCGTCTTGCTGTTGTTGTTGTTGCTGCTGCTCTGGCTGGGATTGTGCCTGCGGCTGTGCGGGTTGTTCCTCTTGCTGTTGCATCTGCTGCTGTTGTTCTGCCGCTGATGTGTCGTCGTGTTCCTCGGGCTCTGGCCTGCTCCGTCATGGTACAGACGACGATGCACACGAGGTTGCCACGGAAACAGTGAGACACAAACAATACGAATTGGGGCGGGGGAGAGGAGATGTAAGGAAAAGGACGAATCATTCACTTGCTCAACAGTAGCAAAAACAGAGCGCACAGCCGGTACAATACGACCAGAGAGAACAACAACACGGGCAGCAGCAAAAGCACCAGCACATGGTCACGGCACCAGTACCTGGACGGCTCCTGCTGTTCCCGTGGCCGCGAGCCATCACGCTGCATCGCCAGCGCGCGCACACACACACACACACACACACACACACACACACACACACACACACACACACACACACACACGCACACACACGCACACACGGGATGAAATTGGTGTGGGGTATGTGTTGATGGTGAGGTTGTGGTGCATATGTGAGTTGTGTGCGCATGTCATGGATGAGCACACGCGAGCTCATACGTACTTTTTTTGTTGTACACACATAAACACGAGTATCTGTGCGCCCAACATGCCCCCTTTCGGGAAAAAAAAAACAAGGACGAGTGACTGCATGCAGGCTGGAAAACGCACCGTTGCGGGGCGATGAGGCCGTTGCTGCTGCTCCGCCTCCATTTCCTGCTCCTCTTCTGTGACAACAGAGAACAATACACACAACCACACAACCACGCGCACAGATGCACATGAGCACACGCACACACACAAATTAAGCATGTTCTCCAAACCAACAGCAACAACCACAACAATCTCTCTCTCGCCCTCCTTCGCTTCCTGCGCCACCGTACGTTCGCGGCGAGCAGAGCGGCGGTCGCGTGTGCCGCGTGCCGACGGCTGTCTGTCTGCACGTGCCGATTTGTCGCGCGTGCGTTCACGACCGCCCTTGGTTGCGGAGCGGGCGGAGGCAGCGCGGGAGGAGCGGTGGCGTTCGTCGTCCGTCTTGCTGCTTGCGCTCTCACGCGAGGGCTTTTTCTTGGCAGCCGACTTGCTGCTGCTCTTGCTCGCCCGGCTCGACTTGTCCCCTTTTGGTCTGCAACATAATGAAAAGGGTGACGGTGAAGGTGGTGGTTTGTGCACGAGTGATGTGGGAGCAGGTGGTGGGGTGAGCAGGTGGTGGGGTGAAGAGGTGGGGGGGGGGGGCTTGAGCACTGAAATTCGGCCATGAGGCAGTGGCAGCATCACCGGCAAAGAGCGCCTACAGTAGCCACCACAACAACTGCAACAACTGCAACAACTTCAACTGCAAACAAAGGCAGCTGGCGCACCGTTCACCGGCAAGCACACGCTGAACTGCATCTGTTGAGTCCACCTGAACACACAACAAACAGCACGTTAGGCAAACGCAAACGCAGCAGTGGTGCGGCAATTGAACACGATTGTACCTTTGCGCATGCATCTGCATCTGCTTGATGCTAATGTGCCATCACAGCCATGTGCACGTGCACAACAAAACATGCACAGCCCATAGAGTCAAGCCCCCCCCCCACACACACACACCTCTTCGAGGACAGCATGTGCCATGGCTTGGAGCCATTCGTTGGTGTGTACGGCATCACGACCTGCGACAATCTTGCTTGGCCTTGCCTTGAGGGATTTGCCTGTGGCCATGACGGTTGTGTCAATGGCCTTTTGCAAGAAGGTTATCTTGGCTTCCTTTTCCTTCACCTTGCCGGAATCCTGTACAAAACGAAGCCAGTCCAACATGTTTGAGATGTTCGATGCTCACACGTCACACGCACGCGATAAGCGCGAGAGCACAACCAGCACACACGCATACGACGTACGAGTCGCTTACCACACACACACACACACGCATACGACGTACGAGTCGCTTAACACACACACACACACACACACGCATACGACGTACGAGTCGCTTACCACACACACCACATACACACACCACATACACACACATACACACACCACATACACACATACACGCCACACACGCACGCACGCACGCACACCTTCTCGTCTGCTGCGTAGAGACCCTCGAGAAATGCAGAGGACTTCATGAGGTTTGTGACCACATCGTGGAGGAAGCGAAAGGGAGGCTTCTTCAGCAGCTTTGCCGTCAACGGTGGTCGCTTGATGACCTTTCCCAGCGTGGCGATGGTCTCTTCCACGGCCGCGTTCAGCGCCTCATCGTCACTCATGGTGATGGTTGCAAAACAGGTCGCTTTCGTCACAAACCAGCCGAGACAACCAATGATGCGTTCACAGCTTTGTGTGTGTGTGTGTGTGTGTGTGTGTGTGTGTGTGTGTGTGTGTGTTTGCGTCGCAGTTGAACAAGATCCGTGACAGCGCTAGCTTGCTAGCGAGCGAGCAAGTCCGACAAGTCCAACAAGTCAAACAAGTCGCTCGCTGGTTGCTCGAAGTTGTGGTGCTGCTGGTGTTGTGTCGTTGATGGTTGTTTGGTTGGTGGTCGTTAGCCGAATGTAACCGATACGGACGATTCACCGTTTTGCCCGTGACTTTTCTACTGTGGTAAATTCAAGTCAATCCTGTTTAGTGCCAATTTCAAGGGGCGAAATTCGGTGCACCGATTGTCGCCTCAACGCGCGTTCGTTGCGAACACAAGCTGAAGCCACATCCACGAACGACGATAGCGGTTATGACGCGCCGACGCGTGCGCAGCGGCACGAGCAACAGCAGCAGCAGCAGCAGCAATCGGAGGCGAGGGAGGAGCGGAAGCCGCAGCACCAGCAATGCTGTCGGTGTTGCTGCTGGTGCTATCAGCAGCAACGGCGGCGGCGGTGGCGGCGACACAAAGAGTAAACGGGCGTCGAGGTCTGCCAGTCGAAACAGAGGCGCAGCCACCACTGCTGACACATCACAACACACAGCAACACCAGCAACAAGCACACGCGCAACAACGGCAAGCACAGCACACGCAGAGGCGCGAGGCCGAATTGGGAGCAGAAGTGCTGCAAGTCGTGTGGGCAGATCGGCGGCAGCAACAACAACAACAACAACAACAACAACAGCAACACCGCCACGCCGCGGGCTGTCCTTCTTCACCCGCCGCGCCCTGCGCAAGAAACGGTGCGTTGTCCCTGACAAAACCCACAACACACAACGCCACCCAACTTCGCCACCCTGACATGCATTCCTTTGGTGGCGTTGTTGTCGTTTTGAAAGCAAAGCAGCCGCAAACCGTTTTGCGACCACCGCCACCATTACCCAAACACAGACCAAGCCTACGAGCAAGGCTGACCTTGTTTGGTGGTGGTTGTGGTGGTTGGTGGTGACCGCGTGTGTGCTTGTGTGTTTGGTTCTGGTGGCTGACCAAATCTCCCCGTCTCCGTACTCTCTCACGCACACTGTGTTGACAACGCGCGCTCTTTGCTTTGCTTGTTCCTCCACTCGCACCACACGCGTCAATTGCGCACTTTTTCCCTCCCTTGCTTTGTTTGGGTGCTGTTTCGTTTGCTTCTGAGCCACCACCTCCTCCTCCACCTCCTCCTCTCTCCTGCACCTGCTTTGTGTTGGTTGCGACCGACCACCCTTATTCTTCGACGTCGCCTCATCTCCACAACATCCCTCACACTTCACACGCCAACCAAACACTCACTCTCGCGGGATTATCATCGACACGGGGATTCATCTCACCTCACCCACCGGACCTTTGATCTTGCTCGCCGTGTTGGCTCCGTGTGACTTGACTTGACTTAACTTGACTTGACCGACTGTGGCTGACCGACTGACTGCTCTTCCACCTCATAGGTGAGTGAGTGTGTATGTGTATGTGTGTGTGTGTGTTGTGATGCGGTTTGTTGGTGTTGGAGGAGCGGAGGGGGGTGCAGAAGGGCGTCGGGGAGAGGCGGGAAGCGAAGGCTGTGGTGGTTTCGTGGTCTTTCTCCCGTCCCGAACGAGCCACGCACGCAAGGCGGCAAACCACTTGCACCCCACAGACACATTCATTGGTAGCGCGCATGTGCACACACTCACACACACACTCACACTCACGCACACACACGCATACATACATACACATACACATACACATACACATACACGCACGCATACACATACATTAACACGCACACGCACGGATACATACACATACACATACACATACATTCACACACGCACGCCCCAACAGGAAAGCAATTATGCAGGCCGGGATCAACGCGCACGCGAGCGCCGACGAAAGCGAAAACCGCTTCCACACAGAAGCATCGTCAGGCACCAGCAAGCAGACTGACCAGCTGCCAACATTTCTTGATATGCAGCTTCCCCAACAGGGGCAGCAACACCACCACCAACAACAACAACAACAACACACAGAGAACCACCACCAACAGCAACAACAACAACAACAACAACAACAACAACAACAACAACAACAACAACAACAACAACAACAACAACAACAACAACAACAGCAGCAGCAGCAGCAGCAGCAACAGCAACAGCAACAGCAACAGCAACACTCAGATCAGCAGCAACAACAGCAGTCGCTGCCCACACTTTCACACGAGGCATTCTCCAATGCACTCACAGACACAGACGTACGTCCATGATACTGGATGCTGCTTGATCTGCGCTTCCTTTGTTGAATGCGATTTTGTCGTGCTGTGTATGTGTGTGTGTGTGGGTGTGTGTGTTGAGGTTGTTGTTGCTTGTTGTTCTCTTCACGTCCCATCCTGTCTCACGTAGCGCATTCTCTCTCTCTCTCTCTCTCTCTCTCTCTCTCTCTCTCTCTCTCTCTCACACGATCTCATCTGTTTATCTGTTTCATCGATACAACACCAACACCCCACTTCCCTCCCCAACACTTGCAACCCACACGCGTGTGCAGACGGCCGAGTTTGAGATGGCAACTGCGCCGTCGCAGCCACGCCCGCAGTCTCCAAAGCGGCCCACACTCAAGATCCGCTCCCGCTCCAACTCCCCCAGCCCGCGCGCCGTCCCATATGCAGACGTGCACGCGCACAGGAGACGTGCCCACTCGTCCTCGCTCGCCAACAGCACATCTGCTGGCAGCGCACGCAAGCCGCCGAACAAGGAGTTCCGCCAGCGATGCTACACGACGCCAGACAACGCGTACGTCCAGCACGTTAATGTGCAATTGTGTATGTGTCTGTCTGTCTGTCTGTCTGTGTGTCTGTGCGTCTGTGTGTCTGTGTGTGTCTGTGTGTGTGTGTCTGCGAGCAACTGCATGCACAGTTGCAGCGCGACAAGTCCGCACCCATGTGACATCTGCCTTCAACAGTGCCCTCACACCTACATCACTGCCGCGTTTTGTTCCATCCACCCCCCCCCCCTTTTCCTTCCCCCTCTGTACAACAACAGCAACCTGCCTGACTATGCAGCCAAACCAGTGCTCCGCTCGCCTTACGATGACAACGAGTTGATGCCACCGCCGCCGCCGCCGCAGCCACAGAATGTGCGCTATGTTGTCAACACGAAGATTGAGGATGATCTCGCAAAACTCTTCAACGTCGCCCTTGGCGGCCTGGCCGCACCCACATCCCGTGAGTGTTGTTTTGGTCGCGCATTGCGTCAAATTGTGTCTGCCTGTGTGTGTGGGTGTGTGTGTCTGTGTGGGTGTGGGTTTGTCTCTGCGTGTCTGTGTGTGGATGTCTGTGTTTGTCTCTGTGTGTCTGTGTTTGTCTCTGTGTTTGTCCGTGTGTGAGTCTGTTTGTGTCTGTGTGTGTGTGTGTGTGTCTGTCTGTCTGTCTGTATTTGTTCTTGTGTGTCTGTGTGTCTGCTTTTGAGAGGGAGGGGTAGGTCTCCAGGTACGTGATAGCATCCATATTCACCGTGTCCACCCCCTTCACCATCGTCACCAACCACATCAGAACCGCCACTGCGCAACCGCGATCTCCCCGATTCCTTTTGGAACCCGGCCAGCAAATCGGTTCGTGGCAGCGCCGTCTTGGTGTTCTCAAGTGATGGGATGACCAAGTCGATCACTGCAACAACTCGCATGTACTTGCACACAATCGCAAACACGCACACGCACACGCACACGCACACGCACACAATCGCATACACATACACACAAGAACCCCTCACTCCCCACCTCACCAAAACCTCCTTTCACGTTGCAGATGGTGGCCACGCTCGGCGAGCAGCTGATGCAGCCCAACAGCAGCAGCAGCAGTAGCAGCGCTGCGCCCGCAACATCAAACCTGGGACGCACCGTGTACACCCCCGAGAAGGGTGTGGTGGTGACATCGCAGTCTGTGTCGGCGTCACCGCAGCAGTACTCGCGCAGCAACACCATCTCCACGGCCTCCCCCGCTGGCGCGCGCTATGTCAGCAGCAGCAGCAGCAGCAGCAACAGCATGCAGGGGGTGCGGCAGTTTCCTCACCGCCATAACAGCGCCAGCCACCACCATAGCCATCAGCATCAGCAGCACCGCGCGTCGTCATCGAGTGTGCATGCCACGCCGGTGCGTTCCGCGACACAGCCTGCGAGCTCCCTGGCCAACTTCCGGAGCGGCAGCTTTGGTGGCCCCAGCTCATCGTCCGTCAAGCAGTCGCTGTTCCAGCCCATGTCCACCTCCGCCAGCACATCCGTTGCCACCAGCACATACAACACGGCCACGACGGTGTCCAGTGCACAGGCCACGCGCGCCTTCACCTCCACCATCCCGGCGTCTTCGTCGTCCACGTCGTTCCAGCCGGCCGACGACCACACTGTCAGCAGCACCGTCACATGCACGTCAACCGCCCTCCCCACGGCAGGGCACGGCCAGAACCAGCGCACGCACGCGCTCAACGCAAGCCCAGAGAGCATGCAGAAGCACGAACTCAACACGGCGTTTGTTCGCCCGTTTGACAAGAGCGCGCACCACACAGCGGACGCCCCACGCGAGGCAGACATCACACCCCCGGATATGCAGCTTCTGCATGACACGAGCGACCCTTTCGCTCTCACTGCCGGCCGCTCCAACACGCACTCGCCCTTCACTCTCCCAGACTTTACCGGCATGAACGGCTCCCCCAACAACTCAGACGAGGTGTGTGTGTGTGTGTGTGTGTGTGTGTGTGTGTGTGTGTGTGTGTGTGTGTGTGGGTGTGGGTGTGGGTGTGGGTGTGGGTGTCTTGTGTTAGTGTCTTTTGTTAGTGTCTTTTGTTAGTGTCTTTTGTTCGTATCTTGTGTCTTGTGTGTGTGTGTGTGTGTGTGCTCGTGTTGTGGCGTTTGGTTACGTGTGTGTGCGTACATGGCAGACCAAACGTGCACTGCGCTGCGTTGTTAAATATGCGCGCAGTTGCACTGTTTCAGGCCTGGCTTCCTTCCCACGCTTTTCTTCTGGTGCCCTGTGTATCCAACTCTTGCACGGCCTCACACACACCATCCACCCACCATGGTTACATCCACTCGCATGCGCCACGGGGTATCCAGCTCCCTGCCTTGCCTGATTTCACGGGCTCCTTCGAGGGCACGGACGACGGCATGGATCTGTTTGGCAACGTGGGCGACCTCATTGACGCAGAGCTCACGCTCCTCGGAATGCCGGACGCGAACCCGGGCCTGTTTGAGGACTTTGCTCGCCCGTTTGCACAGCACAGCGACAGCCAGCAACAATCACACCAGCAGCACCAACAACAGCAGCAACAGTCGCAACAGCAATCACAACAACAGCAGCAGCAGCAGCAGCCGCGTCGTGCGTCGTCAACGCAGCACATGCATCATTATCAGCGCCACTTCAACGTGCAGCACACAACAACCCTGTAGAGATGGGTCGCCATCCCGCTTTCACTCACCACACGAGGCCAAAGCGTTTGCGTTGCGGTCCTCTGTTGCGGTGCCTTTTGTTGTGTGTCTTGTGCCGGTGTCGGGTTTGGTGTTGTTCTTTACAGTTCCGTTGGCGGCCCGACAAGAACAGGGTCTATGTGTGCACACACACACACACACACACGCAAACACACACACACGCAAACAGACAGTCACGTTCACACACACACACACACTATAGCACATGGACGCAGTGCAGTGCTGTGCGTGTGATGCTGTTGTTTGATGTTGACAGGTGCACGCTGCTTGACTTTGTCGTGCTTGTGGCTGCGCTCATCATCCATCACCTGACTTCGTTTTCACTTCTTTCCACCTTTTTCTTTTCCCTCCTTCTTCTTTTGTTTGCCTTTTCGTTGTTGTTTGAAGCATTCATTGACTTGTTTACAACACATCGCTCGCCCTCACTTGAGTTTGTTTGCCCCCCCCCCCCTTACATCTTCGTGTCGCAGTTGGTTCTGTCTCCTCGCACTGTTTGTCACCTTCGGTCAACTCACTCACCCATTTCACCAGCGTTGAAGAAAGTTTGCATTGTTACCCATTAAACTTCACGAACAACAAGCAGCAAGACGATGATGATGATGGCAGGTGCTGAACTGCGGTGGCTGGCGGTGGCGGTGTTGTGGTTGTCGGTGAGTGCGCCGGGTGTCCAGGGCTTGATCGCCCGGCCAGCGCTGCCACCGCGAGGCTGGAACAGCTACGACAGCTTTGGCGCCAGCAACGGCACGGAGACAGTGGAGGTGGCGGCGGCCATCTCAAAGTCCCTGGCCCCGTTTGGCTACCAGTACGTCACCATCGACGAAGGCTGGTTCCGCGAGAGCGACAACAGCATTGCCCTCGACCAGTGGGGGCGCATGATTCCCGCAAAGTCAAAGTACCCGTTTGCAAACGGCAGCTTCAGGGAACTGGCCACAACCCTGCGCATCAGGAACCTTACCCTGGGCCTCTGGACCATGTTTGGCGTTCCAGCTGACGCCGTGGCTCGCCGCTTGCCAATCCGGAATTCCACATACACCGCAGATCAAATCTCCCTCGGCGTCAACACCACTTGTCCGTGGGCTCAGAATCTCACATATGCAATCAACACCACCCATCCAGGCGGTCAGGTCGGTTGTTGTCTCATGTGTGTGTTTGTTGGCTGGGGAGCAGAGGTAGATTGTGTGTGCGGTTGTGTGTGTGGGCGTGATTTGTGATGTGTGAAGTGTGTGTGTGTGTGTGTGTGATTTGTGCAAGTGTGCGTGCGTGTGTGTGTGTGATTTGTGCAAGTGTGCGTGCGTGTGTGTGTGTGTGTGTGTGTGTGTGTGTGTTGACATGCACACAGTTGCACGCACACACGCGCTTGGTTTCTCTCAGCCGCCGACGTTTATCCCATGATGCTGCGCGCGTTCATTCATTTGCGCGCAACGTGCCGCATTCATTCATCACTGTGCAGGCGTATTACGCCTCTCTTGTGGAGCTGTATGAGGAGTGGGGGATCGGGTTCTTGAAGATGGACTGCACATTCGCAGAGAACATGACCC